TGGTCAACTTGATGGCATTTATAATCAACCCCTAGGCATGTCTGTGAGGGATTTTCTAGGTTATGTATATTGAGGAAGGAGGATCTACACTCGTAGTGGGTGGCACTATTTCATTGGTTGGGTAGCCAAGTCGCAACAGTCATCTCTGCTTCCCAACTATGGACACAGCATGGCTAGTCACATCTTTCTTGCTGCCATGACTTCTTCATGGTGATGAACTGTATCTGTCGCAAATCATCTAGTATGTCTGATTGGTTATTCTTCCAGGAAGCTTTAAAGATTTGTTTTAAGATTCTATCAAAACACTCAAATTTTGAGAAATTGTTGGCACAAATCCCAGAAGATGCTTCAATAGAACACACATATATATTCTTAAGCCTCCTGGAGAAACTCACTATTCATTTCTCCATTCTATCAGCCAATCTTAAAAATGTGCGTCAAAGTGCTCAACGATCTTCACTGTTGTGAGCTAGGCCACTTGTGGCCTTGAGAACTCCTGTACCAGGCTGCTAGTTCCTATCCAGGGGAGCCTGCATCTGGCCCTGCTCACCCTGCCCTGCTGAATGAATGTCTAAGCGCCAACTACCGTTGACAATCAATGCCCATGCAGGTGTCTGGACAGACGTGTTCCACTTACTTTTCTGATCTCAGTTGTCTGACTTAATCCTATGTGGGCTCTATTAAGAGATCAACCCTATTTCAGTGGCTACTTGATTCCCTACCCTCATTTCTAACATGGTAATTGAAATTGATACTTGAAGAGCTGAGAGACACTATAGCTTTAATTTGGGCAAAATGTTTTTCAATTAAAACGTTTCTTGGGGGGTGGGAGAACATTCTTTTGATATCTGTTATTCTCTGGCAGTACTCAGCCCCACACGAAACTTGGCTCTGTAGGCAGCAACTCCCGACTTTATTTATGTTTGAGTCATCAAACAGGTTTTAGGTCTGTACACTTGTGAGCTTGACGGAAATCTTTCAAAGCAGTTTTCAAAGGGCCAGTTAGGCCTTATCTAATCGGCACCGCTGTTCCCAAACCTTCCGCTGGCCCAGAAATTGTGCTTACTTAAAAACAGTTGGTTTTCCCCCAAACATCCTTTCCATTAATCCTTCAATATTGATGTCTTAATGCTGCTATATTTGGACCCATTCATCTGATAACATTTAGGATGACTTTGTGCTTGCTTGGTCCAGGGAGGAATATCTTGGGTCAATAGGCACCATTCCCAATATGGCTGTGGACGTTTTGTTTCTCTTTACATCTAAAACATAGCTTAAACTACAGAGGTTAATAATTTGTGGAGGTGTTTTATATATGAATAGCATTTCTTCACTTTCTACTATTTAGATCTCAGTATTTCACGATTGTTAATTGGTGAACCGATGCCATGTTATCAGCTGCCTTAGCTAATAACTGGCTATAAAATCACAGTTCATGGTCTATACAGCTCTTTTATCATGGACTCACATGCTCCAGAGAAATTACCCATATCTTACAGAGGCAAGAATGCTTATCGAAAACACAGGCTACACATTTGTCTAAATGCCTGGGTATGGACTGATGCTCTGGGAAGGCACTAGGTCCTGACTCCGGGTTGGCAGTTGATGAGATCACTAGGATAAAGCTAAACTCGATAGTCATTTAGTTACTCTCAGTGATGTTAATACTGAGTGTGTTCGGGTTGTCAGAGAAACCTGCCAGACGATTAGAATTGTTCAAAAATACTGAGGTCATCAAGCACAGCCTAGATAGCACTGTGCTGAGTTCAGGTTTGCTGGGCACTCTGCGGGTGGATGATCAAAGCAGAGATAAGATGTCTGCTGAACCTGCTTGGGTGTGTGCTGCCTCACCACGCCCATATCATTCTCCGTCTGGGTTCAGGGCTCCTTTATTTACTTATTATTGATTTAATTTTGAGGCAGGGTCTCACTATGTGGCTGTGACTCTCTTGGAACTTGCTGTGTAGACCAGGCTGGCCTTGAACTCATAGAGATCCACCTGCCTCTGCCTCCCTAGTGCTGGGATTAAAAGTGTCTGTCTAGCAGACTTTTTTTTTCTTCCAAGATTCCTTCCTGGGAGCATTCATTAGATTTAATGTAATTTGATTTAGCACCTAATCCATTTTTGCCTAAAAATTCTGCTTCCCCCCCCCTTTGAGACACTATTTCTCCGTGTAACCTAGCCTGTCTTGGAACTATCTCTGTAGACCAGGCTGGCCTCAATTTACAGAGACCCACCTGCCTCTGCTTCCTGAGTGTTAAGATTAAAGGCGTGTACCACCACGGCCCGGCACGAATTCTGCTTTCTTGATAGTGCTCAATGATCCTATGTTGCCTGGCACCTCCTCTCATGCCTAGGCTTCCTATGTCTCCTTTTGTTTGCACTTGCCTTGGCACACACATTGCTGGGTGTTTTCCCTTGGAGCCAGCTGAACACTTGAGAGGACTCTTGTTGGGGTATACAGGTACCTGCTTAGCCACATGCAAAGGAAAGAAGAGAAGGTGAAAATGACTCGCTTTTCTGATACACACAGATCACCTGACTGTGTGAGTCAGACAAGACAACAAAGGGCAAGAAACTTAGCTGCTTCAGACAAATGTTTTTTATTAGACTCTTTTAAAAAGAGAATAGGCATATGTGCACTTTTTTTGGAGGAATTATTTTACTTAGATTCTTATAGGGATCTGAGACTCTGGTAGGCTGGCTACTTGGTACAAGAAATTAGAATTGAGTCCTCAAATGCCTTCTAATTTCAGATGAAGTTTCTCTATGGGAAGAGTACCAGCTGAGACTCGTGTTTTCGATACCACGTACGACAGTATTTAGCACATGGCAATCAATAGGGGTTTGTTTGTACAAAGCACATTGACTATGCAAAGAAGGTTTCCTTGCAAATGGCGCTACCAAGGGTGACATCATTCATCACTGTGTTCTGTCCTGCTGGCCTCACAGCTGAAGGCATATAGAAAGCTGAGACAAGATCTTGAGAAACAGTAAGGAGTAGGGTGTCACCCGAAATGTACTGTTCCATGATGCAGTGCGTCCTTGAGCAGACGATGGAGAGAGAAGAGAGGTTCCCTCAGTGTGGGGGTTTGAATATTGAATATTGTTTCTATAGGAGGGTTTGAAGAGATTTAGCTCAAGGCTAGAGATTTGTTTCTTTAAAGTGTTTTGTTTAACAACCTTTATTTATGCTTTGGAATCTCCAAGACCCTGGAGACTTGGGCTCAAACTTGCTGAAGAAAATATAGCAACTGGCTGGGGATCCAAAGTGATCAAGGCATTCTAGGAATTTCACTCAGGACATAGAGAGTGGGCAGGGGTGGGGAACCCTACACAGTCACTGTCCCTTACCTCACTTAAGTATGCCATATTACACAGTTTCTAGAAAGAACTCTTCTCTTCCCGACATCGTAGGAATCTTCTTTTACTTTGAAGTTTCCTTACCTTCCCAAAATCCAACTAGGAATTTATTTGTACGATACTTATCTTTGTAAAGATTTTACATTAGGATCTTTAAGACTTCTCGGGGAAGATGAGAGTAGCTCACAGCCCCCATCAGACAAGTTTCTTTCTGCAGTTGTAGAGCGACTCATGGTTCCTCAAGTGCAGAGAATCAGCGACCGCGGAGTGCTCAGCCCTAAACATCTCCATCAACTTCCTCAAGATTCAGGGAGCACCACCAAAGGTGTGGGAGTTTGTAATAGCCAGAGTCTGGAGAGGACTTCTGTGAAGTAGAGTCTTTTGGGTACCACAGGGCCATTGCTCTAGGGAGCTCCCAGCAGCTGCTGTTGCCTGCACACAATCAAGGCAGTTAAGATTTCCATGTGCATGGGAGAGGGCTCAGGAGGCTCCCACTCCTGGTTGAGGAACTACAGGCAGCTGGTGGCAACCAGGAGAGAGTCATTTTTCTGCAAGGGTGTGGCTTTTGGTAGGTTGCTAATTCTCCAGGGTTTGGCCCCACGCCTATACAGATATCAACAGCATTAACTGGACTCAGTAGGTTGAAAGCAAAACAAAACCAACTAACCAACTACAACACCACATGAAATTGGGAGGAAGATGTGTTGGGGAGGGGTCTGGGAAGAATTGTAGGGACCAGGAGGGGTAGACTTGATCAGAATACACTGTATGCATACATGAAGTTATTTAAGATTAATAAAAAATAGAAAACATATAACCCTAAAGCAACAGGTTAAAAACATTCTGTCGTTGAGGTTTATTGGTCTTTCTTTGAGTCCGACTATTGCTACTAGGAAATGTGGTTTCAGGCAGTGCAAGTGGCTCAGAGGGTAAGCACTGTAGCCAAGCAAGACTGGCTAGAACTTGATTCCTGGAACTCACACAAGGGGGAACTCATTTAAAGGGGAAGACACCAAAAGTGGAAGGAGGGAACCAATGCCACAGAATTGTCTTCTGACCTCCACATTAGCACTGTGGCAAGTATGGACTGTCTGCCTCCTCCCCCACTGTGTGTGTGGGTGGGTGGTGTGTGTGTGTGTGTGTGTGTGTAAAGAGAGAGAGACACACACACAGAGAGACAGAGAGACAGAAAGAGAAAAATTACATTTTTTTTTTAAAAATGAGGATTGATTTCTTTCAGATTAGAGACTACTTTCTTATTTCATTATTTTATGGAAAAACAAAAGAGCAGAGACCCCATGAGATTGTACACCAATTTAAAATCAGTTGAACACGGCCCAAAAGTGGACCTAGGTCTGCAGAGGCAGGAGACCCAAACAATGTGAACAGCAGGTGACCTCTCTAAAGAAGCTTACGGTGTGGGTTTAAGCTAGAACTTCCTCAACCCAAAGGAAAAGGAAGAACAGAAATGTTTTTTCCTTCTTCTAAAACAGCTGCGGAACTTGCTGGCTAAGCAAAATGTTTTTCTCTGTTGTAGCTTGGAAGGGAGCAGCAGTTGGAGGACCTCTCTCCCCCTAGCCCTTCCTCCCACCCTGGACTGTACCATTAAATCTCAGATAATGGGGTGATCCAAAGCAGAGATTAAGTTAGTACTAGTCACAACTCGTCCCTCTCCATGCATGGCCTCGCGTGTCGCTAGCTTCCGATGGCGGTGACCAGAATCTGTTCAGGGGCTTGCTGCGCTTGCAAGGTCGCTGCGAGAGGGAGCACTGAACTTTGGACTGCACCTCAGAGGGTGAAGTAAACAACAGGGCTATAAATGTCAGTGTCAGGCACTGGCTTTGTGGAGCTGCCCTGCTAGAGCAAAGAGAGGGAGAGGAAGCAAACTAGTCCGAAGGGGTTGCGTAAGTAGGACTTGATTCTTTTAGTTTGGGAAATGTTTTCTGAGACCGATAAAGTCCTTTCCTCCCCTTCACAATAGGCTTTGTAAAAAGATTGGAAAAAGACATTTAAAAAGATTTTTTAAAAAATGAACAAGAATTTGGGTGTGGTAGGTAAAGTGTCTGGGGAGCACAGTTAGCGCTTTTTGTTGATTTCTGTCTTTTAAGGTGCTGTGCCCAGGGGGAGCTGGAGAAAGGAGTGGCAGTCTTTTCTCTCTGCAGGAGTGTGGTGTTGTGTGGGCAATATTATTTGATTCAATCTCAGTTTTTCCACTGAAGGGTAGAGCGAGGGCAAACGAGGAAAAGCTAATGGATTTCAAAAACAGAGACGGAAAGACGCCCAGCCCTCGGTACTTTAGAGGGGTCCGGGGAAATCGCGAGCAGTTTCAGAAAAAGAGTAGGGAGGGAGCAGGCTCCACCCACAGCACAGAAGTGGTCAGCTTTAGAGAAGGTCCGGCTGTGCCACAGGTGGTCCGTGGGTAGCTTTTGAGTTTAAGTCGGGAATGGGAGCCCTTAGGTGGGCGAGGGGCTTTGAAGTGCTTTTGGTCGGAAGTTCAGAGAGAGAGGCTGTGGGGCAAGGAGTGTGCGTATTTCCCTTTTAGTGTACAGACTAAGAGTGAAAGGCACTGAAGATTGTAACTACTACCCCGTTGTCACTGTATCTAACTTTATTTACCCCCATTCTTTTACATAGCTCCTTGACAGTTAAAGTGCAAAGTTTATTCTACAAAAACAACTTTAAGCAATGTTGAGCAGCCTATTGATTATAACAGGGAAATCTGCCAATGGAAATCCAGCCTCTTTAGTTTCTCCTTTCACACTAAATAATTCTTTTTTTATATTTTATTGATTTATTAAGCTCTACATTTTTCTCTGCTCCCCTCCCTGCCTCTCCTCTCCCCTTCAACCCTCCCCCAAGGTCCCCATGCTCCCAATTTACTCAGATAATTCTTTTCATTAGAAATATAGGTGAGGGAAATCATTTCCTCACTCATGTCTGCCATTGAGCGGTCTATTTCATGGTAGACTATCAAGGGCCATCTTCATGCTGGCGATTCTGTAACGACTGAATTTAATTTACTTTTTTGAGAGGTGTGTGTGCTAGAGATTGGACCCAGAGGCTTGCATATTTCTTCGTTTAAGAAATATGGACAAGCTAGATTTCCTATTAAGAAGCTGAACGACTTGTTTTGATGCTCACTTTACTGTCCCAGAGCACATAGGAAACTGCCTGCTCTAGTTATTGCAAGGTGAAATATTTAAAAAATATCAATGTACTCCAGTGGCGGAGAGACCCTACTTTGGACTGGGCAGAATCAATATGAACCTGCTCTTGTGGACTGTTATCTGTGTGGTCGTAGACAAGGCACCTGCAGTCTCTCTGAGCCATAGTTGCCACAGCTGCAGGAAGGGTATAATCTTCCCAGGCGCAACTGGCGTATGTAAGCGTGCTTAGCACTGTTTTGGCTTTAGAGTTCTTGAAAAACTGAGTAACTGACCAATATAAGAATAAACCCATTATTATTGAAAATACCAACCTATAGGAATTTCCCTAATTAATTGTCAGAATTAAAAATGTGTTAGTACAAATAGCCAAGACGGAGTTAAAAATGTTCTCCCTCCTCTCTCTCTCTCTCTCTCTTTCTCTCTCTCTCTCTCTCCTCTGTCTCTCTCTCTCTCTCTGACAGGGCCTTACCCTGTGACCCTGGCTGGCCTGGAACTTGTTGTGTGTAGACCTAGTTGGCCTTGAACACACAGAGATCCACTCGCCTCTACTTCCCGAGAGCTGAGATTAAAGATGAGCACACCAGACCCAGCTCTCCTTCCTTTCTTTCATTCTTTCTTTTTTGTTTGTTTTTTCAAGACAGGGCCTCACATGTAGTCCTGACAGTCCTGACACTCACTATATAGAACAGGTCAGTCTCAAACTCAGAGATCTGCCTGCTTCTGTCTCTTGAAAGCTGGGATTAAAGGTGTGTGCCACTTTACACCTGCCCCCCCTTCTTTAGTGAGCCTCTTAGGTCAGATTTTTCTTGGAGAGGGCAGTCTCACTACATGCCTGAGTCTGGCTTCTAATTTGAAATTCTTCTGCCTCAGTTTCCCAAATGCTGGAACTGTAGGTGTACTGCTGAAGCCAGCTACGTATGTATTCGGAAGAACTGAATACCTTGAGGCATATTTTCTCCAGACAGGCCTGGAATTTACCCTGAAGTCAGACTATTCTTGAATTCAGAGGCATCCTTCCGCCTCAGTGTTTTCGGTGTTACCTTTACAGGCATGGACCCCCACACCTGACTTCTTTTGTTCTTTTATCAACATGACTCTGCTGTGTGGATCTTTTTTTTTTAATTATTTTTGCACATTTTCATCATGTCTCTAAATTTACCATAAAAAGTTCTGAGAGAGTCGGGCGGTGGTGGCACATGCCTTTAATACCAGCACTTGGGAGGCAGAGGCAGACAGATCTCTGTGAGTTTGAGGCCAGTTTGGTCTACAGAGTAAGTTCTAGGACAGGCTTCAAAACTACAGAAAAACCCTTTCTCAAAAAGCCAAAAAATATCTGAGAGAAGTGGCCCCTAGTTTGGGGGCTATTTCTGTTCAGGTACTTAATAGTTTTATAATATTTTAACTAATATTTTAAAATTCCTGGGTAAGGGGGCATCTTTCCATCTGCAAATGTTCTATCTAGTTGTCGGAGCTTCATGAAGGCAGGCATTAGAAACAGAAACGAGTCTAAGATGGGGCAAGGACAATGACTTGTAGTGTTTCTCCTTGGCCAAGATTTTCCTTTCTTGGTGTATTTAAATTATATATGGTGGTAATATCAAAGCAGATAGTCTTTATATTTGAAGAGATTCAAATCCTATATTATCATGTAACTAGACATGGAGAACTAACAAGGCAAAAATATTGAATGTACCCAAGGTGTTTATAAATGTGGAAGGCTTGAACTTGATGTCATAGTTTGCTCTTTGCCTTTTGCCTGGGACTTTCCAGGAAAATTTCATGCAAGAAGATCAAGGGCCATTACGAGCCACACTCACACTGTGCCCTGACTCCACCACCATACCCTTTCTTTTTCACATCTCTTTCTGTGCTGGCTCTTTTTAGCCTTGTGTAGAATTCCCTTCTAACATTTGCTAGATTGACAGAGGACAGAACAAAGCAGTCAGAATTTAGTGCATCTCAAATGAAAAGTCAGAATGTGTTTGCAGAGTGGATATGACTGCACTAAATAGGTGTCTTCTCCTAGAGAAGTGCCCGGCTGTCCATCAGGCACATTTCCATAAGCGTGCTAATTGCAGTGTCGTGCTACAGAGAGCTAGCTGATTTGTTTGGCCACTCCTCGGCCTTTTTGCTGGCACTTTCCTCTTCCCAGGAAAGTTTAGTGGAAGGAGGTTCACAGCAACGGAATACTGAGCACAACAAGATGAAGACAGAACCCATAGGCTGGGTTTTAGTTAGTAGGATCGTACCTACTGTGTTTAGAGAAATGCATAGCAATGACTATGAAGTTATTGATGAAGTTCATTCTCTGTTTTATAGGACAACGCCACAATGTGGAGAAGCCTAGGGCTAGCCCTGGCTCTCTGTCTCCTCCCCTATGGAGGGGCAGAGAGCCAAGGCCAAAGCCCTGTTTGTAAGCAACCTCCAGCCTGGAAGATAGGAGATGAAAATCCAATGCTAAACTCTGAGGGCACAGTGACTGTGGTTGCTCTTCTGCAAGCCAGCTGATACCTGTGCCTTTTGCAGGCATCCAGGTAAGCAGTCTTCAAAGGTTTGGAATATCATTAGGGAAAGGCTATTAAATACAAACAAATGTATGTAAAATGTAATAAAAATAGAAATAATGTAATTATTAAATAATGCTTTTGTAGATGTGTATGTTTATACAACACAAATTTGATGAAAAGACCAGGAAGACAGACAGACAGACAGACAGACAGACAGACAGACACACACACACACACACACACACCCCACATGGATATATACAATACTACCAAAATATTTACTGTGGTATTCCTGGGCTTTGAATACATTTCCCTTTTTGTGTTCCTACATTTTGTAACTTCTCAGTATGGCTTACCCATGTAAAATTCACTCCTATTAGAGCAAAAGTTCAATATAAGAAGCAGAGGAAGGCTGCCAGCACAGACACCAAACACTAGGATTGTAATAGAAGGTTTTGCTTCACTTAACAATCATAAGTCAAAAATACAGGTTGAGTCACCCATCAAATATTAATTGCACAATGTTCTATATATCTGCAAGGCAAATTTAAATATTTACTAATTCGGGACTCATGTTCATGAAAGCATTTAGTATAAAGCTTCAAGTTTTAGCCGGGTGGTCATGGCGCACATCTTTAATCTCAGCACTCGGGAGGCAGAGGCAGGCGGATCTCTGAGGTTGAGGCCAGCCTGGTTTGCAGAATGAGTTCCAGGACAGTTAGGGCTACACAGAAAAACATAAAAAAAAAAAGCTTCAAGTTTTAAATAAAGGTGAAAGGTTCAGTTTTACAACACATAGAAAAATTACAGTCACTTAAAAATAATAAGAGCTTCACAGAAAATAAAATGAATGTGGAAGGCAGAACAAACAAACAAACAAACTAAATGTCATTGTTCGTTTTGTGTGTTTTCCCCTAGACTGGAAGACCTGCGACTGAAGCTAGAACAGCAGGGATATTCTAACATTTCCTACATTGTTGTTAACCACCAAGGGTCCCCTTCTCAACTCAAACACATCCACCTGAAAAAGCAGGTGTCAGCCCAGATTGCTGTTTACCGACAGGAAGAACATCAAACAGATGTCTGGACTCTCCTAAATGGAAACAAAGATGACTTCCTCATATACGACAGGTGAGCACCCTCCCAGACTCTTACGAGCTATTATTTCCTTTAAAAATTCACAGTGGCGTTCTTCACTGCCCCGCGCCACAGTTCAGTTTTCGTCTCATGTGATTCCTTGCTGTTGGGAACACTTTCGGTTTTGATCCTTCTGACATTGTTCTGCCGTGTTTTTCTCCACAGCTTTCTTCTTCTCTCCCATCCCCACCCCCTCCTCATTCTTCTTCCTTCGTCCTTCCTATTAGCATGCCCGTGTTATTCAGAGTGGTTTAGTTTTCCTTCTCTCCCCACTAGACAGTCTGTAAACTGACCTCATCTATTCTCTGACCATACCACATATATCCTAGTGAACTGAAGTAAGTACAAACCCAGATATCTCTCCCACAGTTATCTCCATAAGCATCTTAACTTCCATGACTCAAATAGGAGTCAATTACATTCTTTTAAAACCTATTCCTTAAGCTTTGACCTTTCTGTGAGTTTTCTTGGAGGGAGAGAGGCCGGCACCAGAGGACACAATCCAATACTACTACATTCTGCCTCCAGCCCTTACCCTTTATCTATGTAGTGTTGCAGAATATCACACACATGATCATGTGTGATGGCATTGCTGTCATATACCCTTCAGAAAAGTCTAACATGCAGTTTGGGACTTCTTGTCATTCACCAAACTCTAAGTCTTGCATTTATCTACAGTGCCTTCATAATCAGTCTCTCAAGTGACTTTCTTGTCACTTTTCCTCTAAATTTTTGCAAAAATGTTCTCATGTGTTTATTTTCAGATTTGTATTTAGTAATAAAGTATTTAAAATTAAGCATTTGTCTTTGTTTTATATCAAGTATTCAGTTTCAAATTATTGAAGGTTTGGTTTTTATATTTTATATATTTTGAGTTAAAAATGAGTCCACCATTTCAATAGGTAGTTACAGGAAACTGACTGTACATTTCCCTGTCTTAAACAAATGCAGGAATTCATTTGCATAACAGATATAATTTTAAATATTGTGCAGATTAATAATCATACTTTGTAGTCCATACCTGTTTCTGTCTAGATTAATTTACAATTTATGGTCGTATGCTTGTATTTCTTAGCTGAGCATGGAAATTGCTTTCAACATGATCTCTATGAATTTATTTTGTAATCTATGATCAAATAAAACATTGATATTTCGAGAGACTTTCAATACAAATGTTGTCTTCTGGAAAGCATTCTTAGTTGATGCTTGCTTCCTTCTGGTTCTGCCTGAGCTGAGTCCTTACTTTGTCTCATATTAAATATCTTTTCAGCTTTACTTCACTCCTTTTGCCCCCTAAACTTCTAGTCAGTTGTAAAGTACAACTAAAAAGATGATATTTTGGATGATATGTCAGTAAAAGTAGACATTTCAACCTTTTCATTTTGGAGAATGTCGAATTGTAATTCTAGTTATTTTATTGGACTGAAAATGTTCTTATCTCAGATATGTTCCTTGGGATAAATGAGCTACTGAGCATAGTGCACGCATGTGCTACATACCTGCAATGCCAGCATGTGTGACATTCAATAGACATGCGTTTCAGGCTAGCTTAGACTTCACCATGAGTTCACTATGAGAATCTCTCTCAACTTAAGGGCTGGTGATATAGATCCCTGGCAGAGCACATAATAGGATATGTAAGGCTCAGGTTTGTTTCCCACCCTACAAATTAATAAATAAAGAAGACACTGCCCAAAACTTCCACAGTGTCTTTGTTATGCAATGATTTCTGTTTTTGTGGAATCTGTCTTGCCTGAGCAGTTATGAAAAGCTCCCGTAGTTAGTCTTTGGCAGAATATATGCTAATTAAAAGGTATTTGACTAAGTCATAGTCATTACACACTTTCTAAAAATTATTTTAATGACATTTATAGCATTTCAAAATAATAAAATTAGGATCATTAATCCTGCCATAACCTTACCTGGTATATTGCCTGGGAACTCAATTATATATTCCAATCAAGGAAATTTATTAAAGGCATGGAAGGGGCTTAGCATGTAATACCTAATACAGTCTAGTCTGAGTAGGGTCACACCACAGAGAGTAAAGTAGTTAACATCGCTATTTGCCTTTTAGATGTGGCCGTCTTGTGTATCACCTTGGCTTGCCCTATTCCTTCCTCACGTTCCCATATGTTGAAGAAGCCATTAAGATCGCTTACTGTGAGAATAAGTGTGGAAACTGCTCTCTCACGGTAGGTATTTTTCTCAGTTGTTTTTACTGGGGGATAAGGAGAAAACTTTAAAAATCTACCTAAATAAGTGATCTATCATCAATTATGTAAGAAAATCTTAAACACACATTTTCTGTCATGTAACACTCTTTAAAACATATTTGCAAGACATATATTGCTCCTTCATCTTGAAAGGCTTTAGAGACAAACAAGCAAACAAATCACGGCTGGAGAGATGGCTCAGTGGTTAAGAACACTGGCTGCTTTTGCAGAGAACCTTTGTTCAGTCCCCAGCACCGACCGGGCAGCTCAGAGCTCCCCCCCCCCCCAGGCCAGTTCCAGGGGATGCGGTGCCCTCTCCTGGCCTCTGAGGGTACCAGTGCAGATACGCTGTCAATTAAAGTAGGCCATGATGCTATTTTTACCCGACAGAACTGTGTAAAGATTACCAAAGCTTTGGTGAAATTAAAAACATTTTCTCACACATATTGCAGAATGAAAAGCTGCCAGTTTTTAACTGGCATTTTTGAGTGGTTACAAAGAAGCCAGTTTGCTTAGAAAAAAGACTAGATTTGATGACAGGCATGAAAAGTTACTGACGTCAGGATTCCATGTTTGGCTGACTTCACTACAACGTAAGTTTTTCAGTCAGTTTAGTTTTGATTTTACGGAGAGAAATACAGTAGTTTGGCTTCTTTAAACCTTTAATAAAAAATGTAGACATTGAGACCAAGGGCAGGCTCTTTTTTATTAATATACTGTATTATATTTTATATATTATATAAATATAGTATATTAATATAATACAATAACTATATATTAATATGCATATACAATATATACAGTATATGTGATATATGCATATAATATAAACACAACTATTATGCACATAAGCACCAATATATAAAATTAATTAATATTTATATATTATATGCACATATCACATATACTGTATATATATTATATACACACATATTAATATACTGTATTATAGTAATATACTGTATTTCATCAATATACTGTTAACTGTGTCCTAATTAACTTGCTGGAATAACATAAATAATGCCTCTACACCTAACTTTTTTATGCACTCAAGGTAAATCTATGAGCTTGTTAATAAGTGATCTGTAAATTTGTTCCAGAGTCTCGAAGATGAAGACTTCTGTAAAAACGTGTCCTTAGCTGCTATGGGTGGATCAGCGGAGCCCACCAAAGCACATCACCACCACAAACACCATCATAAGCATGGGCACGAGCATCTTGTGAGCAGCGAGCTGTCAGAGAACCAGCAACCAGGAGCACTAGACGTGGAGCCACCTTTGCCTCCTTCAGGCCTACACCATCGCCATAAGCACAGGGGCCAGCACAGGCAGGGTCACTTGGAGAGCTGAGACATGCAGGCAAGTGAAGGTGTACAGCTTTCACTTGCTCAAAGGAAGCTTTGTCGGAAGGGGTGTGTAAACCAGCTCCTATGTACGTTGTCTAAGGAGTCAGGGACAACCACCAATAGCTGCTGCTGCCACTGCCGCCATCTCATATTTGAGAAGTCAGGGTCTGCAATCACTTGACAGTGCGCCGAAAACCTCCCATCTTTATGTAGCTGACAGGGGCTTTTTGCGGAGGAGAAAGTCATTGAGTCTTGTCAATGTCGATCACCTCCTGCTGCCTGACAGAGTCAGCCACTAAACCCCACAGAAATTGGCACCACCTGAAGCTGAAATAATAAGGCCAAAAAGTGAAAATGACGTTCAAACTAAATATTTAAAATAAATTGTATGCTCCCTAAGTCAATCTAAAGAGACAATTTCATTTCTAGAAATTTTGCAACCCATTTTTTAAATCAGTGAACTAAAAGTAGGAATTGGATTTGTGCAAACATGAAGAAATTTATCATATTTGCTACTAAATTTAAAATTTGATGCCATGGAAATTTTGACCTAAATCAGATTTGTATTATGGGGTAACTAAAAAGTGATTGCAGCTTTTGGTTAATATGTCTTTCTTTTTCTTTTTCCCGTGTTCTAATTACATTGATGAGAACAGAAACATAAACTATGACCTAGGGGTTTCTGTTGGATAGCTCGTAATTTAGAATGGAGGAAGAACAACAAAGACACATTTTCCAGTTTTTTCCTTTACTTAAACTCTCAAAACAATAGGAACCTTTATCTTTTTAAACTTCCATTTTAACCAATTAAGTCTTTAACAGACTGCATTTTGAATATCTTCTTATCTTTTTATACTAGCTTGACTTTTACTACATACATTTGTGTATCCTGTTTTCTTCATCCTGTGTTGTATTGTTCTTCTGAACTGTGAGTGACTGTCTTGAAAGACATAACGGAAGAAAAGTATGTTGGTAATCTGCATACTGCTTAAGACAGTATTCCCATAATCAATGATGGTTCAATAGAGAAACTCAGCCCTATGAACCTGAACTCTTTTATGGCTAATACCAATAAGCAAGAATGCAGTACAGAATTGGGCACAGTACGGATTTATCTAAATAAATGCAATTTAAAAAAGCTTAAAAGTGTGTGTCTTTATTATTTAGCATGCTCACATTGAAAATAAAAGTGAATTTTAATGCCTTTAAAGAAACTAAGTTGTAGCTAATCCATAAGGTGCTCTGCTCAAAACCGTCCCCGAGTGAGGTGGGAGTTTTTGGCAGCCGCGAGACGCCGCTCCAGGTCTCGAATAGTGTTCTGGAGACTTGCAATCTCTTTGCTCTTTTCCTCTTGAAGATGTTGAAGCTTCTAAATGAAGCAGAAGAAAGACTGTCATTGCAATTTAGAAGTAAGATTAAGTATAAAGAAAGACAAAACATCAGTCAAAACACACTTGAGGCTTGTATTTTTAAGACTATCTTACTTTGAAAGCCCGTAGCTTCACTTTTGTGTGATTGAAAGGGAAAAATGGTATAAGGATACAAAACTAATTTACTATATTTAAAATAAACATTAGGAAATAAATGTTCATAGGAACACATTGATGCAATTAATTTATTGACGACAGAGTCATGGGACAAAATGCACATACCCTTCTGTAGATACTCTGTGGCAAAATAGTAGCATCTGGATACGACTTTGATTTAGTTTGAACTCTTGCTAGTTTTGTGTCAAACTGAACCAAATTCAAAAAGAGAAAGTTATTAAGGCTGTTGTAGTTCAATACTCAGAAACAATGTTTCTACAGAAAAAGTATACCAGCAACATCCTTTGCTATATATTTTGTAACTGAACACACTCTATATAGCAGATAGAAAAGTCTTTATGAAACAATTTGAAAAAAGAACAAAGACCATCCAAACAAGATTCACCTAGATGGTGGGTTAAAATTGCTTGGGGGCTGTATAAGAGGGTCAAAAGCCTGGGCACTACCTCCAGAGGCATCACGGTACTTTTCCTCTAAACATCATTGCTCTCCCCCATTCCATGTGAGGCATACTCCTGATCTCCGAGTAGAAAATGTTTCCCATCACCACTGTTGTGCTTTTGTCAGGAAAATCCTGTAATCCACAGTCTCAGAAGAAAAGCTCACAGGTCTTTCAAACTTTGAAGTAAAATGTTAGAAATTGGATGTGAGTTAGTCAATTCAGTTGTTTTTTTTTTTGGATTAAATTGAGTCAAATTAATAGATTTGTATAGCTTATTCTTATAAGCCATTTTTAAAGCACAATGTTCCACTATAGCTCTTCCTTTTAGATGAACCGTAGTGGCCTCTCAGAAAACTAGATAAGCTTTCCATGAGATTGTGCTCTGGTCTTAGGAGAGAACTGAAGTTATAATGGCGATACACAAAGACATCCGAGTACTAGTCAAATAGTATAATCAGACTAGTCCATTGGCACATCCCAGATAGCAAATAAAATGCAAATTCCTAACTGAGAGATGGTAAGTTGGGAGTACATCTTGAAATAAGACCCGCTGTATTTCAGTTGGCAATCCAGCCCTCTCTGTGGACACACTAGGCTAGGAGGCAGAGGTGACCCCGTCAGCAGCTGTATAACAGCACAGTGGCAGCAACAGCAATAGCAAAATCCCTCTGAAGCAGTGTAACCCTTTCTGCCCCAAGATGTTACCTATAGATACCCATCAAGCACCCTAGGCATAGCAAAGTTCCTGGGAAATAAATAGTAAATTATTTTAATTAAGATCTGTGAATTTTTGCATAATGTAATGTCAAAGTGGAGATGGGTGGAAGTCATGGCATAATACTGGAAGAAGAGGTTGGTAGAATTTAGAAAAGAATGCAAAAGACAAATACTTTGTTAACACATCAGTATCTGTGAGATTCTGACATGTAGTGGAATAAATAGTTCATTGAAAAGAAAGAAGCTACAAAACTTATGACACACTTATTTAAAGTACATTTACAAATGTTTCAAAGAAATTTGGTTTGTCTCTAGAATGTATGTTTTCCTAGAAATATATTAGGGAAATTTGTCTGCTTTGATCCCATATAAAACAAAAGGGTTCCATGATTTCTTCTGGGGAGAGAGAAATGCCAAGAATTTGTTGTACTCTTTCCATGCCGGCATGGTGGCTGTGCGCCTCCTGTGTGGAGTAGATTGTAAAACAGCTAACTCCTGAGGAAGCAATGTCCTTCCTGGAAGTTAGGACCTTCTTTTGATCAATCATATGACTGATAGCCTGCTAACTGAGCGTTGCTCTTGCTAGAGTATGAGAATGTGTGGAGTGTTCTTAGAAGGTTCTATCTGGTCCTGAAATTGATGTCATTGCAATAAGAGACAAAGCGTGGTTTAGACTAAGGAACACACTTCTGTTTAGCAGACTTGCAAGCACTTACTTCTAGATGTAGTTTGAGTATTTCATTTTGCTTTTCCTTCTTTTGAATTCTTAACTTTTCATTTAACTCTGATATCTCCATCTCCTTCTTTATCATTAGTTCTTTGTGCTTTTCTTCATTTAATTCAACTAAGTAAAACAAAAATAAATTTATTTATTTAACATTTCAAAGTTATGTGCTTACATTTATTAATCTTTTCATTTGTTTATTCAGCATGTTTATTGATTATATGTGTACCAGGCATTATCCTAAACATCCATACAGAATACGTGTGTCCTCTGTTTTCACAGAATTTCTGCTTTGGGCTAGGAGGCAGCCATTAGTTATAGCTGTGATTGGGATGGTGCAGGATGAACATGCAAAGTGTTGGCAACTTAGGGGGAAACTATTGCTTTTCCCATCACTGTAACAAAATACCCGACAAGAAGCAACTTAGGGGAAGAAAGGTTTGCTTTGGCTCACAGTATCAGTAGATTCAAGCCACCATGTGGAAAAGACATGTCACAAGTAGGTCTGTGGTCCTGGCAGCCTGCAGTGGCTGCTTGGTCTCAGTGGACCAGGAAGCAGACAGATAATATAAAGTCAGGTTGGACTGTAAACATAAGGTTTCCTGCCCATGACACACTTCTTCTAGGTAGGCTCTACCTCTTAAAGGTTCCACAATCTCCCCAAACAGCACCAATGGGGGACCAACTGTGAAAACAGCCAGTGGGGAACATTTTATATCCAAAAGGTGAGAGAATTGTTAACCAAATTTGGGGGAATGAGCCTAAGATGGAGGGGCCTTTCTTAGGATGCTATCTCTAAGCAGAACATCACATAAATAGCCATTTCTAGGTACAGATGTTAAAACAAATGAGAACTGTTGAGAGACGTGCTGACTCCATCTTAGGAGAAAGAAACAAGAGGTACAAGATGGACTCATTACCCAAGATCACTTTAAAGTGTGGTTTGAATGGGAAACCTGGCTTCACAGCATATTATCTGCATGCATGTGGTACCCTAGACTGTGCAGAGCACATTCATTTGAGGTGTGTGGTTTGGATAAGAATGGCCCTATAGGTTCATGTATTCGAACGCTTAGTTACAGGGAATGGAGCTATTGGTTCACATTAGGCAGAATTAATCGCAAATATGAATGAGACTTAGAACTATTATATTTATGTTGCATAAATATACAAAACTTAAATTAAAATGTATCAAGGTGTGTTCATTCAAGAATACTATTATTGGAAAAAATAATATGCACCTTTAAATTGCTGCACAATATGTCAGAATTCAATAAATTAAAAATGTAAAGTTACCTTTTTTCAGCATATCCTGATAAAGTTTGCTCATTTCAATTTTATGTCCCTCCTCTTTGATTTTCATTTCACTTATGAGTTTTGCAATACTGTTCTTATATTCCTAGACATTAAAATATATTCATTTTCAATGTAATAGTTATAATTTTTGATAATTAAAAAGGTTAAATTCCCAGCTAACATTAATTTTGGCATACAACCATATCCAGTGCTTTTTAATTATACACAAAATAACAAGTTTTATTATTCACAAATATAGATCACAGGTATATAGATATCCTGCTCACATGTGCACCCATTTCCTGTCCCCTCCCTCAGTTGTTTCTTTTCCTCTCTCAAGACAGCCCCTCTTCTGCTGAAGACACACCGAGATTCTGCGTAAGAGATTTTGCCGTATTTTGTTTGACTTCCTCCCTGTTGTGGTGTGAATGTAGACTAACCCCACATGCTCATGTGTTCAGATGCCTGACCACCAGTCAGGAATCCTGTTTTCAGAGATCTTGGAATTGTTAGGAGGCACTTACACAATGTGTAAAGGCTTATCGCTGGGGGTAAATCTTGAGATTCGCAGCCTGTCTCTACTTTCTGCTCAAAATCTGCTTCCTGACAGGGGCTGCGATGTGACCGGTGGCCTCAGTTCCTTGTTGTTTCTCTGCTGTGACCACATGTGTCCCTCCAAACTGTGTGCCTAAAGAAAACTTTTCTTCTTTAAACCATTTCTTGTCAGGTACTTAGGTGTGGCAGCAAAAGTACTGATGTGCTGTCATTACCTTTCCTTGTTCCTTCTCCCCACTTCCTTGAGACTCCTTTTTCCTTCACATTGTATTGTACCCCTTCTACTTTGTTCGTCTCTCTCTCTCTCTCTCTCTCTCTCTCTCTCTCTCTCTCTCTCTCATACACACTCAGTCACATACACTCTCACACAAACACTCTTCTACAACACACACCACATTCTCTCTCACACACACTCAGACTGTGTATATATTCCCATTCCTAGCCATCTTACTCAAGTCTTTGTTCAAGATATTTTGTTTCCACCTTCATGTCAAATATATGTGCATGATTTTATGTATTTATATAAAATCTAGGAAGCACAAATGAAAGAAAATATAATGATATTGTCTTTAGAAGATTGGTTTAATTTGTTTAATATGGTTATCTCCAGTTGTATCCATTTCCCTACAAACAACCTAATTTTATTTTTCTTTATAGCTGAAAAAAAATCACTGTATATAGATGCATTTTTGTTTGTTTCTCTCTTTCTTATTAATTAATTTCCCCCAGCTTGATCACAGTTTCCCCTCCCTTCCTCCTCTTCTCCCATTCCCTCCCTGTAACGTCTCTCCCTCTCCCCATCCCTTCAGAAAAGTGCAGGTCTTCCATGTATATCAACCAGCCACAGTTTATCAAGTAGCAGTGAGATTAATGGTGAACAGAGCAACCCAGAAGGAGGAAAGGGTCCTAAGAGCAGGCAACTGAGGCAGAGACAACTTCTGCTCCTGCTGCCAGGAGTCCCACAAGAAGATGAAGTCACACAACTGGAACACATGTGCAGAGGACCCAGGTCAGTCCTATGCACGTTCTCTGGTTGATGGTTCAGTCTCTGTGAGTCCCCCGGAGCCCATTTCTAGTCGACTCTGTGTTTTCTCTCTCGTAGTGTCCTTGGCCTCTCTGGCTCCCATAACCCTTCCTCCCCTTCTTCCACAGGACTCCTCGAGCTCTGCCTAATGTTTGGCTGTGGTCTCTTCATCTGTTTCCATCATTTGCTGGGTGAAGCCTTTCTGATGACAATTGGGCTAGGCACCATCTATGAGTATAGCAGAATATCAATCACTAGGAATCATTTCATTGACTTTTTTTTCTATAGTGATGCCCAGGTGACATATAGGATTCTCTCTCCTGAGTGTTTCAGCCAGTGAAGGGCAGGACCAGTTCTCCGTAGTGTTGCAGCTAGTCAGGGGGTGGGGCCAATGCTGTACAGTCCTGTCCTCTTGGCTTTGGTGGTATCAGGGGTCATGAACATCAAAAGAGATGCATCAGAGCTATGAACTCAGACATGGGTCCCAGGAGCAGCCCAGGCCCAGACATCGTCATGGCCCCCATTTCAGCCCACTCAGCTCTTTCACTTCTTCAGATATACCTTTGTCCATAGAATATGAACACAGTCTTTCTTGCTCTCTCTTCCAGACCACACCATATATCTGCTCACCATAATAGTACCCATCTTCCTGGCATGGGCTGGAGCTGTTGCTGGAGTCCCCTCCTGTGCCTCATTTTTTAATATGATTATTTGGTTGTCTGATGTCTAGTTTCTTGAGTCCTTTATATATTTTGGAAATCAGCCCTCTGTCAGATGTGAGGCTGTGAAGAGCTTTCCCCATTTTGTAGGCTGCCATGGTGCCCTTTTGATGATGTCCTTTTCCTTACAGAAGCTTTTCAGTTTCATGAGGTCTCATTGATTAATGATATATATTTTTAAATCCATTACTTTACTGTTGGATATTTAGGTTGGCTCTATAACTTAGCTATTATGAACAGTGCTATAATAAATACTGATGTACAAGTAATTCTGTGATATGATGATCTAGAACCTCTTTGGTAAATAGCCAGGAATGGTATAGCAGGGTCATATTGTAAATGTAGTTTTAGTTTCTTGGGAAACCTGCATACTGACTTCCATGGTGCCTGGACTAGTTTATATTTCCGCTAGCAATACATAGGGGTTTCTTCTTGTTCACGTTCTTAGTTACTTTTTCTATTGCTGTGAAGAAACACCACAACCAAGGCAACTGATAGAAGAGTTTATGGGGCTTGCTTACAGTTTAAGAGTCCATGATCATCATGGCAGGGAGATGGAAGGAGGCAGGCAGAGTCCTGGAGAAGTAGCTGAAAGCATATTTTTATCCAAAAGGAGAGAGAGAGAGAGAGAGAGAGAGAGAGAGAGGGGCCTTTGTACAGATTTTTGAGCTCTTTGTGTAGTCTAGGTATTAATCCTGTCTGATGAGCAGGTAGCAAAGGTTTTCTTCCATTTTGTAGGTTATTTCATTACTCAACAGTTTTCTTTGCTGTAATAAGACTTTTAACCCCATGAGGTCCCATTTATCTGCTTTTGACATTGTTTTCTGGAGGCACTGCATAAGTTCTTAACTTTGCTCTATCTTGAATTATTTCCCCAAGTTTTCCTCTAACAGTTTTAGGATTTCATGTTTCACACTAACCCTTCAGTCCATTTGGAGGTGATTCTTGTGGAGGTTGGGAAAGTTAGTTAGTTTCATTCTTCTGTTCCTGGACATCCAATTTTCTAGGTCCCACTTGTTGAAGAAGTTGTCGTTTCTCTAGTATCTACTTTTGACATCTTTGTAAATAATCTGTTGCCTAAAGTTGTGTGGTTGTGTATCTGGGTCTATATTTGGATTCTTTATTCTAGTCCGTTGAGCCACATGTTTGTTTTTGTGCTAGTACCATGCTATTTTTTATTACTAAGGCTTTGCAGTATAACTTGAAATTACAGCTGATATTTTGTGCAAAATCATGTGTGCATATATTTGTGAGCATTTTTTTTGACAAACGGTTTATAGTTATTCCTAATATTCAGTGATATTGAGAAGGTAAAACTAAACAAAGACTTCAGAAAAATCTAGATGTACTGGCTGGTGTGTCTATAATTAAATACAATTACTCAGTGAGATGAATGACAGTGTTGTCGACTTGACAGAACCTATAATTACCTGGAAGATAGGCCAGGGTATGTCTATTAGGGAGTATATTGACTATGTTAATTGATATGGGAGGACTCATTTTAATTGTGTGTGTGTGTGCATGTGTGCATGTGTGTTCTGGTCTATAACAAGTGTTGAAACCAAACAAATGCTTTTTTACCCCTCTCCGTCTCCTGGCTGTAAGTGATAAGACCAGTTGCTTCTAGCTCCTGCCTTTTCAACCATGAAGGTATAGTGGATTTTTGATCTGTGAGTCAGCATAAATCCTTTCATCATTAAGTCCTTTTGTTAGTGTCTTTTGCCGCAGCAACATAAAAACAGCCAGGACAACCAGTTTTAAGGCGCATGATCTAGACTGTCATTTGTGCTATTTATCCTGTTACAGAAGTTGCAGGATTGACCAAACCTTTAAGACTTTTAGATGTGATTAAAGCTGGGCAGAGTCAATGCAGGGAGAACCTCAAAGCCGCCATTTTACCCATTTGTGTGTATCCAGGTTTCTAGATGGGCAACTAGAAGAGCCAAGAGAATGTTCCCTATAAATACATGAGGTGAGTAGGTCACTGTTGCTCTAAGAAGCATGAGAAAATTCTATGTACCTTTCCACCTGCAGATGCCACTACTAAGTGGAAGGCATGCATTAATCTGGTAAAATCCATAATTTTACTCCAGCTTCTTGACATAAGGGCTATCATACATGTGGGCTGAGGTAGGAGCTAAATCGGAGGGGACTGGGAGAGATCTTTCTTATTATTTTAGCCTGTGTAAGTCCAAAGGAATAATACCTTCTTTTCCTTAATAATGCCAATCCCTAGGAAATGGTAGTTGGCTGCTTTTTTATTTAGTTTCTGGGAACTTTAAATTATAATGAATAGCTCTGGCTGTGTTCTTGTCTCATGAAACTTACGAATTTTCTATGTGTAATGTACAGAATCACCTAGCAAGTATTTCTATTAAGCATCTTCCATGTTTGTTCCTAAGAAGTGGTTCTCCATGAGTTTTGGTTTTAGCATGAGGGTCTATATTAGTAAATTATCATTGTGTTGAGGCCATATAAGAAGTATACTTTGGGCAAGTTGTTTAAAAAATTAAAAATGGATTGTGGTGCTTTATACTTTTCATCCCACTGAGTTATATATATGTTGAAGGAGCATGGTCAGTCCTGAAGTTTTAGAAGGGAAAAGGGTAACATTTTATGTTTCTCTACCTGGACTGCAAACTGACTCATCATCTATCGTGGAGCTCGGCAGTTAAGATTTGGAAAGGAGCAGGGAAGAATTAAGGAAGGAGAGGAAAGAAGAACAGAGAAAAGTATCACAGAGATACTTAACTGGAAGTCTAAGTCCTCCAAGAGCACATGCGGATGCTTTTTCTTACTGGTGGGCATGACTCAGACAGAAGTCCCAGGTTGGGTGCTAAGACAAGCAGTGTTTTCCTTAAGAGCCTGGCACACAGGAACTCATCAAGTTATAAGAAGATACTTCAAGCTAAGCCTGTACAGACTCAACATGAATTTTGGAGGTCTTTGAGTTTGATATGTTGGTTCTTGGAAATGAGAAAAAGGTTATCCAACAAACCACCTCAATGGATAGGTGGCTGGGAATTAGCATTTTTTTTGCCTTTTGCATTTTTGAGACACTGTGCTACATGTTCTGCAGTTCATATCACTACACTGTTTTTGAAGGATGGAAGTCAATGTAGCAGAGTATAATGATCACTGGAAAGAACTAATGTGTGCTCTACATGAAGTCCCCCCATTATTTGGACGCTGTGATGATCACCCAAATGACAATGAATATAGACTCATTCTTTTATAGTAAAAGAATTAAAATATTCTATTAACTAACAGAATATACTCTAAAGTTAGTCTATTAGCACAATTGAAAACCATGTAACAAAATAATTACATTTCTTCCTGGTAAAAAGAAACAGTGTAAGTAAGTAAGTGTGTAAGTGGTATTAGTGCATTATGTTTTGTAAAAAAGTCTACAAGTTACAAAAGTTAACATTCATTTATTAAAGATTTTTACATATATAACATATATATTACACTTACATAATTATAATATATATATATATATATATATATATTACACTTACATAATTTTTGGTGTGTTTGTTAATTAAAACAACTTGCTTCAGGAACATACCTAAACATAATAAAGGCAATATACAGTGAACCAACAGTCAACATCACACTAAATGGAGAGAAACTCAAAGTGATCCCACTGAAACCAGAAAGGGTTGTCCGCTTTCTCCATATCTATTTTAATATAGTTCTTGAGGTTCTAGCTAGAGCCATAAGACAACAAAAGGAGATCAAGGGGAAACAAATCACAAAAGAAGTCAAACTCTCACTATTTGCTGATGATATGATACTTTACATAAAGGACCCCAAAATTTCTACCAAGGAACTTCTTCTACAACTCATAAACACGTTCAGTAATGTAGCAGGATACAAGATTAACTCAAAAAAATTAGTAGCCCTCCTGTACACAGATGATAAATGGGCTCAGAAAGAAATCAGAGAAACATTACCCATCACAATAACCACAAATAACATAAATTATCTCAGAGTAACTGTAACCAAACAACTAAAAGACTGGTATGACAAGAACTTTAAATTTTTAAAGAAAGAAATTGAAGAAGACACCAGAAAATGGAAAGATCTCCCATACACTCGGGTAGGTAGAATTAACATAGTAAAAATGACAATCTTACCAAAAGCAATCTATAGATTCAATGCAATGCCCAACAAAATCCCAGAAAAATTCTTCACAGACCTCAAAAGAACAATACTCGACTTCATATGGAAAAGCAAAAACCCCAGGATAGCCAAAACGATCCTGTACAATAAAACAACTTCTGGAGACATCACAATCCTTGACTTCAAACTCTACTACAGAATTACAGTACTGAAAACAGTCTGGTATTGGCATAAAAACAGACAGGAGGACCAATGGAACCGAATTGAAGACCCAAATATCAATCCAAACACTTATGAACACCTGATTTTTGACAAAGAAACAAAAAAATACAAAATGGAAAAAGGAAGCATATTCAGCAAATAGTGCTGGCATAACTGGATATCAACATGAAGAAGAATGAAAATAGATTTATATCTATCACCATGCACAAAACTCAAGTCCAAATTGATCAAAGCCATAACATAAAGTTCAACATAAAGGCAACCACACTGAACCTCATAGAGGAGAAAGTGGGAAGTACGCTAGAAAGCATTGGCACAGGAGACCACTTCCCAAATATAACTCCAGTAGCAAAGACAATGAGAAAAATAATTAATAAATGGGACCTTCTAAACTGAAAAGCTTCTGTAAAGCAAAGGACACAGTCAACAAGACAAAATGGCAGAATGGGAAAAGATCTTCACCAACTCCACATTGTACAGAGGGCAGATCTCCAAAACATTCATAGAACTCAAGAAATTGATCATCAAAAGAACAAATAATTCAATAAAAAAAGGATTACAGACCTAAACAGAGAATTCTCAACAGTGGCTTAAAGACACTTAAGGGAATGTTCAACATCCTTAGCCATCAGAGAAATGCAAATCAAAATAACTCTGAGATTCCATCTTATACCTGTAAGAATGACCAAGATCAAAAACACTGATGACAAATTATGCTGGAGAGATTGTGGGGTAAAAAGAACACTTCTGCATTGCTGGTGGGAGTGCAAACTGGTGCAGCCCCTTCGGATGCCAGTGTGGTGATTTCTTAGAACATTAGGAAACAACCTACCTCAAGACCCAGCAATACCACTTTTGGATATATATCCAAAGGATGCTCAATTGTACCACAAGGACATGTGCTCAACTATGTTCATAGCAGCATTGTTTGTCATAGTCAGAACCTGGAAACAACCTAAATGCCCCTCGACCGAAGAACGGATAAGGAAAATGTGATACATTTATACAATGGAGTACTACATAGCAGAAAAAAATAATGACATCATGAAATTTGCAGGCAAATGGATGAATCTAGAAAACATCATATTGAGTGAGGTAACCCAGACCTAGAAAGATAAATATAACACTCATTCATAAGTGGCTTTTAGACATAAAGCAAAGAAAACCACCCTACAATTCACAATCCCAGAGAACTTAGAAAAAAAAAAAGGACCCTAAGAGAAATATACATGGATCTAATCTACATGGGAAGTAGAAAAGGATAAAATCTCTTGAGTAAATTGGAAACATGGGAACCATGGAAGAGTTTGAATGGGAAGGGAGAGAAAGGGAGGGGAGTAGAGAAATATATATAGCTCAATAAAAACAATAAAAAATATTTAAAAAGTCAACTTGCTTCTTCTTTGAATGAACAAATGCTTTTCAAGGGTCTAACTGAATACAATAGACTATAAACTCACCTGCTCATGAGATTTTAACTTCTCTTTCATAAAATCAACATTTCTTTTTAGTTGATCATTTTCATCTGTATACAAATAATCAAGGAACATATATTACTAAATAGACTTAAAATTAATGTGGGATTATCTGTAACATTTACATTTCTGATCATGCATGTGCTCTGGAAGTATGCTAGAAACTGGGAATACAGGAACATTAAGAAATTTTTTTGCTTTCCACTGAACTTATAGTCTAGTTGTGTGGCAGAGGCAATAGCTATATTAGATAAACCTTCTATAGTGGCACTGTGCTTGAAATTCTGTGAGAACATGTAGTGGGGCAGACCGGGTCATCCTGGTATTGAGTAAGGGTCTGAGGAAGAAGCAGTCACCTGAGCTGAGATTTAAGAGGTAAGGCTTGTTCTGCCTTTGAGAACTGTATTCCAGACACAGAGAAGTGTGTAGCAGAGGAGGGAAACAATTTCAGAAGCCAGTGTGATGGCTTGCCATTGTAATTCTAGCTCTTGGGAGACTAAGCTAGAAGGATTACTGCAAATTCTGGACCAGTCAGGGCTAAATTATAATCTCCAGATTTTTTTAGGGTACAAAATGAGACGTGTCAAGAAACCCAGGTAAAATAAATTAATAAAAGTATGGGCTGGCAGGATATTCCACTGGGTAAACGTTCCTATCTCCAAGGCTAATGACTTGAGTTCAGTCTTGGGACTTAGAGGGTGACTGACAGACTGACTTCTGCAGGCTGTCCTCTTCCTTTCACATAAGAACCATTCCACATGTGCATCCCCTCCCACACCAATAATTAAACAGAGCAAAAGCTCCAATTCCGGAATAGGAAACCTGGGGAAGTATAGAGTGAGAAAGAGGAGCTATACAAATTCAAACTACACTATCCAGGATGACATAATCTGTAAGGATGACTTGGAATTTTGAATATAGTAGAGACTCATGGATGAATACTGAACAGCGGAGAAGGGAAATTACTGGAGATGCATGCTGAGATAGCATGGCTGTTCACTCTTGAAGTCACAGCAGCTGAGATTACCTGCACAAGGTTGGGCCCATTGTAATCCTGTCCAGGAGTGGAAGTGGGCTCAAGAGGCCCCAACCCTTTGAACATCTATAGGCAATTAATAGTTGCTATGGAGGGGGAGACATTTTCTTTAGTGGTGCAGTCACTGGTAAAGTGCCTGTGTTCCTACAGATAACTTCTTATCCATGCTCTTGTAAGTAACCTTACTCTAACTCACTGAGTCACCAAAACAAAACCAACACAACATATATGCATGTATGCGCACGTACATACACGCACACACACACACACACACACACACACACACGCGCACACACACACACACACACACACTGTTTTCTCTCAGATGAAAAACATACCAAAAATAGGAAAGTATTTTCAACCCAAACAAAACAATATTTCCTTTAGCAAAGGGAAGACTATAGAAAAACTTTTGTTTTCCCTCTATTGTATGGGATTTTAAAGTTATGGGGACAAAGTAAGTTTCCAAGTTGAAATACATATTATTAATAGACTGTATCCTTGAAGTTAAAAAGCAATATTTCAGAGGACTTCAATCTCTTTAATGTAAATGGGTCTTCTTTTTCTTGTTTTAAATGGGCTTTCTTTATGATTGAGTTTCCTATGCTTTAAAAGCCTAGGCACCATTTTGTCGTGATGAAATATATTCAACAACACTTACTGCCTCAGCTATTCTAGGCACACAGTTCAGAGGCACTAAGTATAACGTGAGTAACCATCTTGACTTCCATCTCTGGAACTTAGTATCTTCCCATAGTGTATATGTTGTGTCTGTCAAACACTAATTTCTCCTATTCTGTCCTCCAGCCCTTGGTAACTTGTTATTTCCATCTCTATGAATTTTACTACTCTAGGTACCGGTCATAAGTGAAACCAGATAGTCTCTGAGTCTCTGTACTTGTCTGGCATATTTCACTTAGCACAATGTTTTCAAGTTTATGTTGCAGCATGTATCCAAATTTCACTCCATCTTAAGGATGTCTACCATTTCGCCCTATGCATATACCTCTCTGTACCCATCTGTAGATGAACACTGGCATTACTCAGCTCTGTTATTTTGATGGACATTTACAAAGAGGAAAAGGGTTATTTTGCTTACAGTTCTGTGAGTTTCTGTTCATGACTGTACCCACTGATTTGAGCCTGTGGCAGCACAAAGACCTTTGGGGGCACATTTTATATCCAATCTACAGGAGGCTGTTTCCACCTTTTGGCCTTTGTGATTAAAGTTGCTATGAATACTAGCATACAAAATTTTATGTATCTGATTTTTATTTTTTTTGTAAATACCTCAGAGTGAAATTTCTGAATCAAATGGTAATTCTAGGTTTCATTTTTCTGAGTAATCACTAGTCTGTGATAATGGCTACATTACATTCTACCAACAATACCAACACACCTTGTGTTTTGAGACAGAGTCTCTCAGTGGTTTGGAGTTTGCCAAGTAGGTCAGTCTAGGTGGCCCCTGAATGAGCCATAGGGCTTCACCTGTCTCTGCCTTTACCATGTTGTGTTTATACGCAGATACCACCATACCTGACTTTCTTTTGCTCACTCCTCCTTCCCTCCTTCTTTCCCTCTCTCCCTCCCTTTCCTCTTCCTTCTTTTAAATACACTTCCTATGGATTGTACTCATGTAAGCAATTTATTGAATGAACTATCCTCCCCCAAACCATGATTTTAAGAACAATTTCTCCAACTTACCTTTCAAATTGTGTTGATACTGAATAGTCTGCTGTAGCCCTTTTATCATAGTATGAAGAGTAGCACATTCTAAAACATAAAAGATACATTTATTTGAAAATCATCTTGGAATCTTGATTGAAAGAATTGAAATAAAATAATATTTAACTGAAAATTATGTGATCTTAATAAAGCAAGCAGACATCTCAAGGTACGTTACAATATATGGTGTCTTAAGGCCATTCATTATTCCTGTGATGAAACCTGGAGGCAGGAGCTGATGCAGAGGCCATGGAGGAGTGCTACTTACTGGTTGCTCCCCATGACTTTCTCAGCCTCAGCCTGCTTTCTTATAGAACCCAGGACCACCCATGGGCGCCTCTATCCACAGGGTCTCCCCCATAAATCACTAATTGAGAAAATGTCCTACAGGCTTGCCTATAGCCTGATCTTGTAGAAGCATTTTCTCAAACGAGATTGTCTGTACTCTTCTCTCTCCTTTCCCCACCCCTTTCTCTCTGTCTCTGTCTGTCTGTCTGTCTGTCTGTCTGTCTGTCTCTCTCTCTCTCTCTCTCTCTCTGAGACAGGGTTTCTCTGTGTAGCCCTGAAGTCCTGGAACTTGCTCTGTAGACCAGGATGACTCCACACTCAGAAATCTACCTGACTCTGCCTCCCAAGTGCTGGGATTAAAAGCATGCACCACCACCTCTCAGCAAGCTCCCTCTTCTCTGATGATTCTAGCTTTTGTCAAGTGAGCAGAAAACTAGCCAACACATACAGTAAGTATTTTAATTCACCTTTTACGTGAAATGAATCCCAACACTTAGCAATAACTTCTCTAAGGCACAGTATAGTAGACCGTCCCCTGTGCCTTAACAATGTCTTCCCTGAAAGTGCTCCACACCTGGGCATGTCTAGGAACCACCAAGAGTGTTCCCATGCAACTCTTCCAGGAAAGCACATTCTTAAAAAAGAGTCAAGTCACATTAAGTTTGTTCAAAGGTGGAGGGCCACGGCTAGTGAGACGGTGTAAGAGCAGGTTTTTGTTACTGCTGAGCAATAGGCTCCTTCTCTTGGTACTCAAAACTAAGTACTGGGCAAGACAATGCTATGAAAGCATTAAAACCCCAAAACACTTACAAAGCAACCTAAGTGCCAGTGGCTTCATACATAATGCAAAATACTTTCTTCAATCATGATGATGAAAAATATTTTGCAAAAGCTCAAAGCCTCACACCAGTAACAGGTTCCCCATTTGTGGCCTCTCACCCTTTCCTGTTCTTTCTGTTCTTCCACCCACTCACACAAAGCTCTCCATCACATTCTCCTTTCTCTGTGTTGCAATTTCCCAGTAATGGATTGATGGTTAAATTACATTTCCCAGACAGGCGTTAGCTGATAACTTGCTTCGCACATGCTACTGTGCTAGGTGATAGAATAAGAGACATGTGCTTGGCCAGTACTTGTCCTTATTATAATGAACATCATTTATTGTAAGGAATCCAGCAATTAGTAAAATAAGGTAGTTGAAGTTTCTTCAGTAATCAGCAAATGAAAACCACCTTGCTACTCTGTGCATACTGGAGGTTTTTAAAGTATTTTTAAAATTTGAACACAAGATGGCAGGCTCACCATACTTTTCCACATTAGAAATTAGCTAGCTAAGGAATTCTTCATGAACTAGAATGCCATTCAATGATTTAGAATAAAAGCTTTTCATGGTCTTTGTAAACTTTAATCTACATTATCCTTTTCCCTAGAATTTATTATGCTGTTTTATTAAAACTTTCTTGATTATTAAGCTATTTCTTAATAATTTAATGATTTTAGTGCAAATTTAGGATCTAGTATTAATTATAAATTCGTGTGTTAGTAAATATTTCACAGAATAGTTTGAAATCTTAAATACAATTAAAACATAACTTACAGCTTTGACCTGAAATTTCTCCCAAAGACTCATGTGCTAAATAAAGGTTTGGCTCATGGAGCCACTAGGAGGTGGTAGAACCTTGAGACAGAATCTAGCAAGAAGTTAGGTCACTGATGCATGCCTTCAAAGGGAACTGTGGGATCCAGCTCTCTTCCTCGGTTCACATTCAGGCATAAGGCTTAAGGGCCCTTTCTGCTGCGTGTCGTGGCATCACTTGCCGCACCAGCCCAGAGCAGCGGTGTCACATGGTCAGGGACTGGACACTCCAAAACTGTAAGCCCTAAATGAACTTCTTTTTAGGTTAATTTTCCCTAAGTGGTTGTTACAGTAGAGATAGTTAACTTAAGCCTATAAATGACTCCTCCAGTACTTAGTCTTCAACACTATTATTATTGCCCTCTAGATCACTCTTACAAAGTGTCCAAGATTGACATTCTTTGGTATTAGTCAAGAAGCTACACAAAAACCTGGACCGAGATGACTATAGTAGTCATATTCATAACAGTTAAAATTTGGGTGAGAACAATGAGTCTTTTAATAGGTGAATGAATAAACTGTGGTTCTGCCACAAAATTCAATAAAAATAAGTTTTTTATTGAGCACAGAAACATGAAGGAATTTTAAATGCAAAGTCATAGAAGACTGTCTGAAAAAGCTGTTTATTATGTGATTCCAACTATATGATGATTTGGAAAATGAAGACCTATACACAGTAAAATCAGTGAAGATCAGACATCCAGAGGGATCAAGGGAAGGGAGGATATATAAACAGAGCACTGGGAATCTCTTAGGGCAGTGAAACTAGTATTTGGTTTGATACTGTAATGATAAATAATATGCTAATGTCATTACACATTTATCAAAATCCATAGAATGAATAACACAAGAAGTGATCACTAAGTAAACTTTGGATTTTATTAACTAAATATCTACCAATTCAGTATTACCCGAGGAGCTGTAACAAATACAAGGTGTTGATGATAAGAAAACTGAAGACCGAAAATATATGGGAATTTTTATACTTTCATTCATTTTTCTCTATATATTTTAAACCTTCCAAAAATGTCTACCAATTAATAAATTCAAAATAAAATAATTTCTATTATGATTTTGACTTACAGTGTCATACTCTTTGAAAAAGCTTTTCCATAGTAAATACAAGTACTTTATAAAGTTTTTTGTAGTTTTAGCTTTCTGACATTTGGTAAAATTTTAGATGTATAGAAAATATATGACATTTCTGATATATAATTTTTGATTATATAATCACTAATATACAATAATATACATTATATGGCCAGTTACCCCTATTATTAATACTCTATATTGGTATGGTATATATGTTGTAATTTATGAACTAATATTGATGTTATTAACTAAAATTCATGCTTTATTCACATTTTCATATATTAACTTCTTTTGCTTGCCCTACGGGCTTCCACCATACCATTTTATACTTATTATTTGCCATGTCGTCTTAGGCTTCTGGGTTCTGAATTCTGTTTTTTTGGTTTTGATGACCTTGACAATCCTTGAGATACTGGTCAGGTATTCTGTCATGTCCCTCTGTGGGAATCTGCTGATGTTTACCTCATGATTAGACTGGGGTTGTGGAATGGGGAGAAGGTTAAAAAACTAAAGCAAAACATCATTTTCATCATATCATACCACATCAAACATACAGACAGTTAACAAGGCATCGTTTCTGATGTCACTGATCACGTGGCAGAGGTAGCATTTGCCCAGTGTCAAGGTTTAGCACCATGTAATTTACACACTCCACCTTGTTACACTGTGTGCTTCCCTACAGTAAAGGAAACGACTCTACTCAGCTGACGCTTACCCAGTGGAGTCAAGCTCCACCTATTTAGAACAAATTATCTACGGAAGTCATTTAGAATTCCGCCACATGGGAGATCTCTTTTTCCTTTATTATTTATTTATAAAAGTTGATTAAGGTTATTTGCTTTGCATTATGGGTATAATTTAATACCATTCTTCTTGTTGCTGAAATTATTTCAGCTTTGGTCATTGAGAGCTCTTTCAGTTGATTTCTGAGTTGTTTTTGACAAATTCCATCATTATGGGCTCTTGCCTTCTCTTTCACTTTTTAAAAAACATGTTTTATAATGAGAAACCCCCCCCCAAGTTGAACTGAACTCATAATCCTTCCCCTTTAGTTTCCTGAGTAGTGCTGGAATCCTGTAATGTAACACCACACCTGGCTATTTTTTCTGTTTGAGTATTGTCTTTCTTCTGACACTACAAGATACTTCAGTCTTACAGTACAAATTTAATCCTAACCCTACACTCACTCAGTTCTTTTTATTAGAGAAGGTACTTGAAGACAAGATCTTGGCACTGGATCATTGCTATTTAGGGCTTCTCAATAGACACAGGAAGAAAATAAATGTGCTCAATGGTCAGCTCCGAAAACATACATACAAGTAACATTATACAGACCAAGCAGGTTATATTTGAGAATATACATGTATACACATATACATATATTCATGTAACAACAATTAATGAAAAAAGAGGTTATGCATTTGAAAGAAAGCAAGAAGGGATACGGGGAGGATTTGGAGGAAGAAAGGGAAGAGGAAAATGATATTATTATAATCTCAAAAAATAAAAGAAGCAATAAAAATAAAAAACCCAAAAGGAAAATACAAGCACATGGTTTCATTTAAAAAATGTTCTCACATTTACTGCTGTGTGTCTGTGCATATGCATGTGTGCATGTAAGTGTGACGTGTTAAATTAGAGGGCAATTTTGGGGAAGTTGGTCTTCTTTTTCCTATGTGGATCCTGTGAATCAAACTAGGTCTAGACCTGCCCACAGGTGCCTTTACCCATTGAGCCACCTTGTCAGCTCACAGCTCCATTTTAAACTCTTAAAACTGGTGATCCATCTTACATTTACATAATAGGAAATCAAGTTTTGCCCCATTTGGTTTTATAGACCTGTACTGAGCCTTCAATATGCCATGTGTTACCTAGGTAGTGTCTGGCAGAAGACTTAACTTTCTTCATTCTAGGTTTCTCACATATTTTGGAGGTATACTAAAAGAGTACAATGAGACAACAGTCTGAAAAATACTACAAGCACTTAAGGTAGGTGACACACACAGGGTCTAAGGTCAGTCCCTGGAGTGAGTACCCTCATTAGACTACTATTTCCTTAGGCAGTGGAGAACTGACCTTCTTTTATCATGGCCTCTTTTGTTTGCATTATCTTTAATAAACTATTACTCTTCTCCAGCTGAATTTCCAAATGATTGTTCTTTCCAGTGGTTTCTATCATTTTCTGCAGAAGAAATTGGGAGCATGTTATCACAAAATAAATGACACTATTTTGACTCTTTTGTTAAGACAAATAAGAAGACAAATATGAAGACAAATAAGAACAAAACCCACTTAACATCTGAAAGTCTAATAACTGAATATGGGATATAATTTTAAACAAACTAGTGTACTGAGCCTTCAATATTCCCCTTTTTACACGCATAGCCTCTGGTAGCAGACGACTTCCTTCATTCTAGGTTTTCATGTTCTTAAAACTACGCTAAGAAGAGTGCAATCAGACAAAGATCTTAAAAGTTCTATGTGCACTTAAAGTAGGTCACACATGCAGGGCACCATGGCAGTCACTGTAGTGAGTACCCTCACTACAATTATGACTTCCTGGTCTATTTTCTATTTTAAAAGTAACACAGTAGGGTTGGTGATGCAGGCCAGTGATGACGTGCTATGTTAACATTCATGAGGCCCCCTTGGATTTCAGTTCCAGCATCTCTCTCTCTCTCTCTCTCTCTCTCTCTCTCTCTCTCTCTCTCTCTCTTTCTCTCTCTCTCTCTCTCTCGGAGAAAGGGGCATGGCAAAATATTAAATCAGCCTGTTCCAAAGAAGAGGAAAATATGACCTAGTCTGAGCACCTTTCTTTCAATTATTTAACCTTTAATTACATGTCAATCAAAGGCATCTACCAAGCATAATGGTAGATGCCTGTAGCCAGCCTCTCTGGAGGCTGATGCAGGAGGATCTTCTGAGCCCAGTGTCCTGGAGACGACAGTGAGGTTTTGTCTTAAAACTTCTCTTTCCAGATGACTTTATGATGACATAACTACACTATTTAATCTGTTCTGCACTTAGCTGCTCCACTTAGCACTGTTATCTGGGAGACAATAGCACAAGCGCAAATCTACTGCATTCTCTTAACAGCTATTCTGAGTCTTACTTTTGAAGCTGCTATTAGGGAAAATTTTGTTGTTTATAATTTCTCTTTTACAGACAATAAAGAAGCATTCTGAATATGTCTCTTTGGATCGTTGTTAACAGTACAATAAGCTTCCTTGTACTCTTCAAGTACATCAATTCACCATTGATCTTGTGCTTCCTGCACCTCTATTCACTTCCCCACTTTTATCTTCCGCAGCTCACGCTGTATTACTTCATCTGTATTACCATTTATGTATTTCTCTAGGAGGTAAAATTCTAAATATCAGAATACTATATCAAATTAAAAAATGAACAATTATTTCTTTTAAGACACTTGAGAATACGATAATGTATTTCTAATTCATGTCCAAACATATGGCACTGATTCCTTTTTTACAAGAGTACTTATTTCTTTTCCCTGTTGCTATATTAATTTCTGGACTAAGAAAATCCAAATTTTAGGCTATTAGAAGGAAAAGAGATAGGAGAGGGGAAAAACTGAATACATGTATGTTCCATATTATAAGTAATCATCATGGTAAGACTGAAACATGAACCTACTTTACTTTCATTAAAACTATTTTAGAGTTTGTGGACATTCTGGCATTCCCTTAACTTTAGCAAAAATGCATCAACTGCTTGTTTCCTTGTGATAGGAACATTTTTATATATTAGTACAAATAAGTTAAAAAGAGAAAGGGCATTATGGAAGAGAGGCAGAAGGAATAGGAGAGTTGTAAAACGCTGTCCTCTGGACAGGGATAGGCCGTAGCTGTTGTACTCACGACTCATAGCCACGGCCTGTACAAGATCAAGCCCATCAATAATCCAGCGGAGTGGGAACGGGCCTATGAGGCTCTCTTCCTCACTGATGGTCGGGTGTGTCACATCCCTATGTACGCAGGAAGCACTAACCAGACTTAGTGAGCTATTAAAGGAGGAGGAGGAGGAGGAGGAGGAGGAGGAGGAGGAAGGATGCTAGTGATGAGATGGTGGGAAGGGAAAGTACTGGGGGATATTCTACGGTATATGAGGAGGGTTTGGGTTGAATATGAGTAAGAAACATTGCAAACATGTATGAAATTGCCAAAGAATATACAAAACATTAAAGTTTAAAATATAAGAAAGGATTTAGCAAAACACACTTTTGCTATTCAACTCTGGCTCATTTTTTAAATTAAAAGCTATGTTTATTCAACAATGATACATTTTACTATAATATTATACAGTGGGAAAAAAGTAAGTTTATTGGTGTTCTCAAATTTCTGGCATAATATTCTTTGAGATTTGGAGACAACAAATCAGCATTCCCATGAATTCTTAGCCTTCACACTTTTTTCCTCTTGAGACATGGTTTCCTTGGGTTGCTCTGCCTGTCCTGGAACTTGCTTTGTAGATCAGGCTGTCCTTGAACTGAGGTCCACCTGAGTCCACTCTGCCTCCAGAATCCGCAAATTAACTATGTGTGCCACCATGCCTGGTCACACTTTTATTATTTAGCTAACATAGCTAATTCATGTCTGAAGACTAAACTACACGAAGTTTATTAGTACTCACAAAGAAATACAGCCTACAAAAATAGTCAGACAATGAAAAATGTAACTTAAGGTTTGGGTCTCCCAGTAAGGAAATAGCTGCTCATGGAAACAAATGCAGACACTGCCTTATATTCTTAAAATTAAAACTTTTGCTTATTTTTATTTTATGTGGGTGAGTGTTTTACCTGCATCTAAGTGTACCACGAGTGCATAGTGTCCTTAAATGCCATAGGAAGGTGGTGTATCTTCTGGAATTGAAGTTACAGACAGTTGTGAGCTGCCATGTAGGTGCTGGGAACTGAACCCTCGTCTTTAAGAGCAGCCAGTGTTCCTAACTACTGAGCAGTCTCTCCAGACCTGGGTCACTTTTTTAAAAATGAATTTCCCTTTCTTCCCAGTTCCTTCTCCCTGAAAAAAATCTTTTCTGTTTCGCTGCAGCCACTTGTATGTGTCTTTACATACCTTTTCTATCTGTGAGAAGTCCTCTATCAGTTTGTCAAGATTCACATTGCTAATCTTTTTCATACTTTCTTCATTGCTTTGAGCCATGCCTGAAATAACGAAGAGCAGACAATACTAAGGAAGACCCAGAGTATCACAACACTGGTCATAGTTCAAACATTAATTATCCTCTGAGCTCCATTTTACTTGGAGAACTTTAGTTACACTCAGTATTAGCAGAAGTGAAATGCATTGTTTTCTCTACTCTTTACCACACCCACCTCTGCCAAATTTTCTCTAAACACACCTAAAATTTGTAGGGTTATGTATACATGTAGAGAAATTACATGTTTCCAATATTTAATAAAATCTTCTAATGCCACTGCCTAACACTCACCTCTCTGCATATCAGTCTGGCTGGACTTAAAATCTGATCTATTATCCAATCTGAGGTGTGACTTTAAAGGTAAGCATTCTCACTTGATATGCTAAACACGTTTCTTAAATGCTATGCCACAGATACCTTGTTAGCTTGCATATGTTTTATATTTTGTTTGGCAGCATGTTTATTATATAAAGGATACATAGAAAATAATTACTCACAAAAATGTTTCAGTATTTCTATGCTTTTCCATTTTTCCCATTTTTTGGGATATGATTAATTTTTAGTAACTCCTAAGAACTGAAATAAACACAAAGTTTCAGTTTTAACCCCGTGGAACCAATCACAAAACATGCTTCAGAATCCCACAGGTGAACTCATTCACAGAGGATGGAGAAAGTGAATACAGGCAGCATTTCACATGTCGGAGGGGAAAGTGTCTTAACAGAATCAAGACTAATACAATGTCAAAGTATGAAACACTTGTCGCTGGACTTTTCACAATTGACAACGGTGGTGAAATGCAAATCTGACGCACAGGTATTCTAGATTTGGGGAAGGACCACAAGCCAATATATTGGACGTAAACAGTAGATAAAATTCCTGAAGCAGTTACTCAAAATACCTTTTTGGTGGTCATGTAGTTGTTAAACTGGGCATTGCCTGACATTACTCCATCAAGAAATTGCACTTTCTTCTTTTTTATTACTTGATAGTAGCAGCTTTAATGGTTTTGAAATCTGAATTTTGGTTATGTATTTTCAGTCTAGTAAAATATTATCAATTCTGTATCACACGAGTAAAATTATATTTAAAATTCTAGCCGGGCAGTGGTAGTGCACGCCTTTAATCCTAGCACTTGGGAAGTAGAGACCAGCAGATCTCTGTGAGCTCAAGGCCAGCCTGGGCTACAGAGTGAGTTCCAGAACAGGCACCAAAGCTACACAGAGAAACCCTGTCTTGAAACAAAACAAAACAAAACAAAACTTCCTTAGTAAAACTTGATTCTTACGGTAAAAAATAATTATAGTAGACCCCTCCATGATAAATAGTTAAATTATTTGTTGAATAAAGTTAAAAATATCAATAGCTGTTATTGTTACTTAAAATAGAGGAGGATAATTTGAATGATTTAAAAACTTCTCTCTAATTTTATTTTTCTTTAGTCCCTAATGTTTCAAATAATTTTTAAAAACTTGTTCTGCCTTAGAACTAGATTATTGAACTAAATGTATTTTAATTTGAGCCTAGATTAGCTCCACCTTTTTCTTCATATAACATACATAACTTGTAATTATGACTGAGGATGTTGATTAGTGGAAGTGCATTTGCTTGACAAGCAAGCCTGTGTGTGTGTGTGTGTGTTGGCGAGGACGCACGCTCGTGCGCATGGTAGGCACACAGCAGCGAAGAACTGAGTAGAAGTCTCTATCACAGGACAAACAAAAACGTAACATTGATATTCTAATTACTATTTTCTGCCTCTGTCACATCCATTTCTAGATGTTTTTCGAGACAGGGTTTCTCTGTGTAGCCTTGGCTGTCCGGGAACTCACTAGTAGATCCACCTGCCTCTGCTTCCCGAGTGCAGGGATTAAAGGTGTGTACTACCACTGCCCAGTCACTTCTAGATTTCTTAATTGCTCTCTCCCCTCAATTTCCTAGGTTCAGATTCTTTTAACAGAAGTGGTCTTGCCCGGTGGAACCTTGTGATTTGGCGATTCAGTGCTCGATACTTCTCTACTGAGCAGAATGATTCATGTCTTTCGAGGCCACAGGCTAAGCCAATAGTTCTATTTCCTTCTTTGGCTTTAAGCCAAAAGTCCTGTGTCCCAGGACTTGCCATCTCCCCAGTCCTGGCCAGTACTTGGAAGTGAGGCTCAGGGTCGCTTCTTCTTTCTTCTGAACTCTCCAAGAACTCACCCTCAGAACCTGTGACTCAGGCCCACCAAGGCATCCCAGCGTCCTCGGGGCCCAACAGACACGCAGGGGTGCAGGCGAGGGCCAGGGGTGTGAGAAAAGCAGATGGGACAAGATACTAAAAATTCAGGACACTTCGAAGTGGTGTAAGGAAAAGAACTTATGGAAACTGGAGTTCGGAACTCCCAGGATGACACTGGAACGTACCTGTCAAGGCGCACATTCCAGTCTCCAACCACGTGCTCTGGGCGACAGAGGTCAGTCTGGTCCGTTCTAGACTGTTGTCCTCTTCCGGGTGGGAAACAGGCTCCCTCAACTATGGGTCCGCCCTTCTCGTGGACGGTCAGTACCCTCTCCTGGAGCCCCTGCCACCGGCCATTCTAGGTTCCTTCAATCATATACTGCCTCTTAATGTGCTTAGGATCAACATTCAACGACTGCCAAATTAATTACTGTTTGGATAAGTCATGAATAAGCCACAGTTATACTTGGTTAATATGTCAGCACGATTAAATAAATAATAACCCATATTCATTCCTTTGATTTATAGGTCTTTCCAAGTACCAGATTCAGTTAACAGATACAATTTCTCATCTTGTATTTGTTTTACTGGCTTACTGATCTAGGACATGGACTCTTACGTAGATTCTAGCTCAACTCTTTAGGTGTCTAGGGTAAATGATTTTTTTTTCAGTATCTTTCAGTTTCTTTTATCTGTATAGAAAGATTAATAAAAGTTTCTACCCATTAAGGTTGTTGTACTAATTAAGTGAATTTATGCACTTAAAAGACGATTGGGTTTCTTGCTTCCTGTGTTCTAAAATATTATGATTTCCAGTGTTGTCTAATAGTAGTTGAAACTGTATCAGCTGCAACATGTCTTGAATGAGAAATAGAAGATTTACTTTCATTAAAATTTTGTCAAGCAGCGACTTGTAAATGGTAATAGGATTATTCATACTTCATTATTTGAAATGTGTTAATGGCAAAGCGTGAGTATTGGATCCAAGTGGAGAAATGTGGTCCTCACTATTGCTCAGCTAAGGCTTCCTTAATATTAGCACCAACACATAGGAATATTAAAAATTAATGGTTATTGGGAATCTTTACATCTTTATCAAGGATATTGACCTGCATTTTTCTTTCTTTGGTTGTCTCTTTACCTGGCGTGGGTATTAGAGAAATAAATACTGGCTCCATCAGAGAAGTTTGGAAGTACTCCACCTTTTTCTCTTTTTTTTCCCCCCGAATAATTTAAGAAGCTCTGCTTATAGATCTGTTTTGAAAGCTTGAGAGAATTCTGCTGTGGGGTGGGATTTTTTTTTCAGTCAAAAGACTTTATTACTCTCTCAACTTTTTTTCTTAAGGGCTTGTTTAAGCTGTTGACCTCTTCTTGGTTTAAATTTGGTGGTTCATGTCTATCTAGAGATGTGTCCATTTCTTTTTAGATTTTTTTTAAATTAATGGAGTGTAGGTCTTTAAAATGTCCCTTAATAATATTCTGAATTTCTTTAGTGCCTGTTGTAATGTTTCTCAGTTCATGTCTGATTCTGGTTATTTTTGGTCTTCTCTTTCTTTCTTTTGGTTAATGGGGCTAAAGGTCTATTGATCTTGTTAACTTCTCAAGGAGTCAGCTCTTACATTCATTGATTCGTTGCCTTGTTTTCTTTGCTTCTATTTCATTTATTTCTGCTCTGGTTTTTATTCTTTTTTTCCCACCTACTAGATTTGGGTTTGATTTGTTCTTATTTTTTCCAATTTTTTGAGTTTCACCATCAAGTTATTTTTGTGATCTTTCTGATTTTTTAATGTACACAGGTAGAGTGTTGCTTAAAATGTTTAAAAATTATAATTTTCAGTGTTGTCCAGCCAGGAGTAGTTGAAAGTGTGTCTGCTGAAAAATTATTATTTTTTTAGTGAAAGATACAAGATTTACGTTCAGCATTTGATTTTAAAAGTAGAATCTTTAGATGTAAGTATATAACCTTGGGTAACCATAGATACCAGGAAGTAAAAAGGGACCCTGGGGAGGTGTGGGAAGGGATTTTATAGAGAAAGATAGGACATGAGTGCCATTAAGGCAAGTGAGAAAAATGAGGGGAAGGGGACTCTCACTGGGAAGTGGGGAGGATGTTATTACAGAAGGAGAGGAAGGGAGAAGAACTAAATAATATTAAAGATGTTTCAAAAATCATAAGAAACATTATTTTATATTTACCTAAATTACATATATAGTATACACAGATGTATGCACATATAAATTTGTGTGTGTATACATACATACATACATACATTATAGTTTAAATGAATTTGCACAGTTTGGGGTGATAATATTTTCCCCAAGAGACATGGGCTAACAAAACTCCAAGTGTCAGATGGGAAACATCCCTTCTAGTTGTGGGTCAGGGGATTCTAAGAGACTCTCCCCAAATATAGGGTATTGCCAAAGTTCTGGGTTACCCAGCACTTGAAGGCAACACTCTAATACTGAAGATACTTACGGCATGAAGGTATTAACTTGGAACCCACCTGTAAATCTCCTCTCTAAGAATTATCTCTCATAGATTTGAAAGTGTTATTTTTTGTTTGTTTATTTGTTTTTTTGAGACAGAGTTTCTCTATAGATTCGGGAGCCTGTCCTGGAATTAGCTCTTGTAGACCAGGCTGGCCTCAAACTCACAGAGAACCACTTGTCTCTGCCTCTTGAGTGCTGGCATGCACCACCACCGCCTAGTTTAGATCTGAAAGTGTTATACAAGCTGCCAAGGAAGAAGAGTAATCAGCAGTTCTACCCATCTATAAAGCCTATAA